AACGAAGGCGCATCAGCTGTTTGCAGCCTTAGGTGATTTCTTGAAGTGTTTCTTGCTGATGCGGAGTTTGTGGGTTTTCGCGCAGGTGGTCGGCTTCCATTTGAATGATTGTATTGAATACTTTTACTTTACTGCCTCTTGTTGGCCCCTTGCCCCTCTAGACTCCTACCGAAGTTTTCAGCCCAGAAAGAACATGAATTATGATTTTTTCAGTTTGCCCTTTTCCAAACAACCTTTCCGAAATAAACGACTAACGCAGAACCCAAGCAAATGAAATGAAAAACGTAAAATGAGAAGTGCCGAAATAAACGAACACGCCAAAACAACATGTGCAAATCACTCGGACAAATCAGCCCCTTTTTACTGCAGTGGTAGATGAGTGCCACGCGAAAGAAACTGGACGTAAAAGTCCCAATCCAAATCGTAAAAGCATCTCATGTTGGAAGTAAAATTCCAAGAACAAATTTCAGTGTATGCTGCCGTAGATCCGGCCCCCCGCATCCCTGGTGAAACGAACGTGGCAAACGGTCCCATAAGAAGGACGACAGAACAAAGAGGGAGGCAGAGGGAGGGTAACTGAAAATTTCTCAGCCCCACAGCTACACGAAAACAGAATTAAAATGAGACAGGAATGTAACAAAACCAACTGAACTGACACAAGCAAAACCACAACCCATTTCGAAATTCAAGCTGTACAAGCAAACCTTCCGTTTACTGGAAAAAGTGAACAGGAAATAAATGGGTTTAAAATATTGTGTTTTGCGATGTTTAGTGTCAGACGTGTAAACTGCGCACGCGTAAAAGCGTAACCACGAAAGCGTAGCCCAGAACCCCACAGAGGTGCGAGGAGGGAACGCAAAACAAGGAAAGGAGAGGAACAGAAACCCAAGGAGCAAAAGGGAACGAGAGGGGAGTAACATCCCACCCACCACTCCCTGGGTTGTACTAAAAGGACAATACAGTTGGTACACTACGCTTCCCAACTTAGTCTTGCCCTTTTCCAAACAACCTTTCCGAAATAAACGACTAACGCAGAACCCAAGCAAATGAAATGAAAAACGTAAAATGAGAAGTGCCGAAATAAACGAACACGCCAAAACAACATGTGCAAATCACTCGGACAAATCAGCCCCTTTTTACTGCAGTGGTGGATGAGTGCCACGCGAAAGAAACTGGACGTAAAAGTCCCAATCCAAATCGTAAAAGCATCTCATGTTGGAAGTAAAATTCCAAGAACAAATTTCAGTGTATGCTGCCGTAGATCCGGCCCCCCATTTCAACGGAGGCAGCCATTCATCCCCACTTCGTTTTTGCAAACTTCTGTGTGGGGCCCGCATTCAATTGATTTGCAGATTCGAATTTCCTTTTTGCAAAGGCCTCGGTGAATTTCATCAACATCTCAATCATAGGGAAATCTAAATCACGCCAGGAAACATCAATGCGTCTATTCAAATCAAATTTTCCAAACTCCAAATTCGTGAGATCATCGGCTTCCACATTGGATTCCCTGGGACGCCACTCAAGCTGCACGCGCATGCGTTTCCGTTCACATATAGCAAGGTATTCCATCAAAACAATCATCAAAGGAAATTTCGTACTGAGTCCTTTGGTGGAAAGAGACTCTGCAGCTTTGTTATCCGTTCCTCCCCCACAATGAAGGATATGTGCAGCTCTGCCTGAAGATTCCGATCCCACATCAAAAATCTGTAATGCCACCACGGACGCAAGCAGTTCTGCAGATGTGCTTGCCCATGAAGAGCTCTGTCCTCGGAAGAGCCATGGTACCTCCTCCGGACTCAGTTCCAAGGCGAACCACGGAGCTTTGCTAGGGTCTGAAGACTTTCCTAGCTTCCAGCCTCCAAGCACCACGCGCCCATCAGCGCATTTTGCATCTGTACGAAACACCTCGCCCAAATGCACCTCCTTGCTTCCGCAAGGCAACTTCCTCAAACCAGATTTGAACTTCTCTTTGATGAAGATGCAAGTGGTGGCCAAGAGTTCCGGAACCTTCAAAGTGGTCCCCTTTGAAACTGCCGTGAGCCACGCATATCCAGGTCCCAAAAGGGGTCTGATCCAAGGTAGGACCTGACTAGCGAAACCAAGCCTGCCATGAAATTCCTGAAACTGCTTGACACCAGTCAGCCAACCATCCGACTGAAGGTCCTCCACAAACTTGACAAGCCAGTTGGCCCTTCTTTCTGAAAGCCCCAGTTCGAACCGGGAATAATCCATCCAGTAACCAACATAATCCATCTGAAATCCTCCCCTGAATTTTGGATAAGAAAAGGGGATGCCTGCCATCTCCAACGCCACCAAAAATCTCCAAATGGCCAACCATCTATTCTGTCCACCAGCTGCCAGGTGGAGGTCATCAACGAAAACCAGCACAAATAACCAGTCCTGTTCAGAAAGGTTGAATGCAAAACGCCCCAAAAGCGCCATCAGTCTCGACCACCAGAAAGCAGCTGAAGCAACACCGAAAGTTCCTGTCCGGTTCAACCAAATCAGTGATGACCTGGATGAAGTGCGGCAGGCTTGTACCCCCCAATCTGATTCCTTGACCAACACCCGACGGTGAGCCTTTGTCACGTCTGCGTTCAAACCAAAAATCACATGTTCGCCAGAATCCTGAGAAACCTCCATTATTGTAGCAAGCTCTCGGGGGCCAGGGTTCTCCAGGCGGTCCAAGACAACAATTTCGTTGTTCAATCTCACTCCATGCGTTGCGTCATGGATGATTCTGTGCCCACCGTCAGGCTTCTCCAAAATGCCCTGAGCCGCCACTCTAAGAGAACGGCCGGGGTAGCGTCTAGCCGCTTCCCTCTCAGAAAGGGTACACATCCTACCTGCCCTTTCTTCTTCAAGGAATTGTTCCTCCAAGATCTTCTCTGCGGCCGCCTCATCTCCTCTGAAATAATTTCCAACCTCGGCCATCCATTCAGTTTCGTCGTATGACGGTTCCTTCTCCCTGGGTCTGTAAACCTGGGGTGTAGGTCCCAGGGGTTCCAAGTGTCCTAGATGAACTCCTTCCGCAAAACTGGAACCAGGAGAATTGTCAACTATATCTGCGTCCGGATCACCCATCAGCCTCAAGGACTGAGATAGGGCAAATAGCCAAAAGGGCTGCCCTGGAGGCACTTGTCTCGCCTTGCCGCTGTCAGGCAGCAAAGCAAACCACTTCTCACGCAAACCATCCAAGTCCCCTTTGCTAAAGGGTGAAGTCGCCATCTTCCCCAAGGCCAATGCAAAGGTGGCCCTCGCCATGTCTGGCAATTGTTGCCTGCAAAAATCATCCACCAGGTTTCTCAAACTCCTGCAAAAAGAAAGCTGTTCCGTCGTGCGGTTCGTTTGTCTCATTTTTGGATGCCAGCGCCCCGGACAGCATAAGCCCATGCCATCACAAAATGGCTGAGCCTTCCCACCATATCTTGCAGTCAACGGTGGACCCATGCAACCAGATTCAATCTTCACTTCGTCCTCTAATGTATGGGCCCGTCCTTTCACAGGCTTTTCTGTCTCTGAACTCAGCTCAATTGACACCTCCTCCAAAGAAACTGAATTGGTTGGAGGACTCTTAGCTGCGCTAGCATCCGAAGAAAATGGAGGTTCGGAAACGACATGAAGTTTTGGAGCCACTGAAACAGCCGAAGAAACTTGTGAAACTGGAACGACACCCTGAGAAAACGAAACATCTGAAACTGCACTGACATGTGAATTTGAAGCCTCTGAAAATGCCTTGCCCCCCTGATGGGACGGATCTGCACTGCCAAACTTTTTGACGCCCATCGCTTGCACATCCGTAGATTTTGACCCCTTCGGAGCGGAGGATGAATCTGCCCAAGTCTTTGCGATGGCCCGCGCAATGAATAAACACATGGCTCCAGGGTAGTGTGCAGCTGGAGCTGTTTTCCATTGTCCCTTTTCGTTGGTGCCGATAAGTTGAGGATGGTTGCCGCCATGTGGGCACTGTGAAGGCAAGGGGCCCTTGTAATTCCAAGCTTTATCAAACTGTGGGGCACCAAGGAAAATGTTACCTTCGAAAAACCTCAAGTCGCTGACAAAACGTGTTGGCTTTGGCGTCTCAGCTCCAAACTCGCACTGGAATATTGCAAAGGTCCTGCAACCAGGTAGCACTAGAAGATCCTGAAATTGCTGCATCTGCCAAATGGATGCAGGGATACCATTTTTTGTGGCCCCCAAGTCTTCTGGGAACTCCCCCAAATAAAATGCGCCCACATCAGAGGCTAGGTTGAAGAGTTCCCAAGTGCGTTCTGCCAAAAGAGTGCCCTCATCGGCTTTGACTTTATCTTTCTGTGATAGCCACGGGAAGCCTCTAGGATGCTCCCGGCTTCGAATTGGCCTGGGGCCTGGTTTTGCGCTATAGTGGTTCCTCGCCCTGCTGTAAGTCGAGCACGGTGGAGTAGCAATGACACAGAAAGGACGCACGTTGCGTATCAAGGTTTTCAGTTCTTCCCAAAAATTTATCCAACAAATTTTGCTTCTCATCTCGCAGTAAATCAAACTCATGCATCTCTAATGTGAAACCAAATTCACCTGCAAGTGTCTGAAGGTGTTCATGAACATCAGCTCTTCGGCGATGCCCAGCAAAAGCATAGACAATCCTCAAGACACCGCTTGCCGTGCCGCCTGATGGCGCAAAATGCGCCTGCTGCATGTTGTGAAACCCATCCAAACTGTCCGATGGTCAGGAGGCACCACCCGCCTTTGGGTGTTCATATGCCGGGTGAGCTGCATTGCAATTTCGAACACGGCACACATGGACCCTGTTGCAGGTCCCATCGCAAGCTTTTCCTCGCATGTTAAATCTGTAACATATTTCCTTGCCGTCCGGTGTGTGTGTCACCAAACTAAGGTTTGTCCCCGGCAACACGGAGCCCTTCTTGGATTTCCCTTTTCCATCTGGACCAGATTTTCCTTTCTTGCCTTTCCCTTTTGACTTTCCTCCTTCTCCAAAACGTGCTGATGGCTCCTCCACACGGCTGAACTTGGATGGCCTCTGCATGGCCGAGAAGGTCACCGGTGAGGTGAAGTAGAGCTCCTTGATCTCCGTGTCCTCTGTCACTTCCTGCAAGGTCTCATGCAGGGGCCTCCCATTACGGTGTGCCCTTCTCACCGCCTTCTTCCTCAATTCGAACTCATAGTCAAGCATGATGTGCCATGGAGGGGACAGTGGCACCTTTTCACCCCCAGGGCCGGGGATCATCATGCCATAGCATTTCTCGCCAAGCAGGTAGTCCACATACCTGTCAAAGTGCCGCTGTCGTAATCCCCGCAAATAAACCTTGTTACGAAGTTTGGCTGCAACCATCAACCATGCATTCCCCTCGACACGCAGCTTCTGTCGCAGTTCCTCTGTATTTGCTGGTAATTTTCCTTTTGGCCTCTGCCTCGTAATTCTCACCCGACCCGATTGGTCTAATGACGACTGCAATTGAAGCGACTGAGAGTCCCTTCTGCTCACAATTTCATCCAGTGGGTGAGCTGTAACTTCGTCTTGTTCTATTTCTTCCAAGAGCATCGCCACATAGTCAGTTGAAGGCTGGTCCTTCTCGGAGATTTCTTCTCCTCTTGCTGTTTCAACTGCCCTCAACATTGCTGAACGATCTGTATGTGGAAGAGGTCTTACCGTCCCAAGTCCTTTGGCTTCTTGACGTATCTTGATCTCCTCCTCATGCGCATGTTTTGCAGTATCCCATGCTGCAACCACAGAAGCCACTGCTGCTCTGCCCTGCACCGAATCTGCACGCAAGTTGAAGTCTGACTGCAACGCCTGTCTGACTCCAGCCCTATCATCTGCAAGTGCACTGAACCTCCTAACAGATTTGTAGTGCTGTCCCAAGTCGTACTGCGCCTGTTCAGGAACTTCCGACTCCTGAAAAATAAACTGTAAATCTGCATCAACGTTTTTGTGCACCCATTCTGATCTCTCCGCTTCGTCAGCCATAGCTCCCCGCGCAAATCGGCTTGGCCGGCTACGGGAGTGTCTGTCCTGTGTTACCCTATCCAATGCTTAACCGTAAAAGGTTGAAACCGTAAAAGGTCAATGAATTTAACTGAGAGAATGCGGAGGTAAAACTCCCAGGCGTAAAAGCCCCCTCGAGAACAACTTGAAATCAAATAAAGACTGAATCTGAAATCTCAAGCACAAACAACAGGGGATTCAAACATCCCCTCTGAGCTAAAGCCGAATCATTCCATCGGATTTAACTTCCCGCAAGCTGACAACAAGATTCCAAAGCCGGTCCCTGTCATGACATGTCAATTTCCAAACTGATTTTGTGTCAACTGATTCTCGCACGGCTCAAGTTCCGCACAAGATTTTCAGACTCAAATGCATAATCTGATTTCGTGAAACTGCAATGCATGAAAACTCTAAGAGGTCCCGGCTGAAACGACATTTCAGATCCCTGTGAATCCTGCTGCCCAAATTGCATTGGAAACAAATCAAACCTGACAAGACAAGGAATCAAACTCAAGTGAAATCACTGACAAGGCATCTGCGTGAAACTGAAACTGCACAAATGAATCCTACTATCCAATCGCATCACCGTCAGTAGCTTCCAAGTCCTCTTTCCCCTCTTCAGTCGAGGATGAAGACCCTGATGAGCTCGGCCCCTCAATTTCGGTTTCCTTTCCTAATTTGACCTTGCAAATCTTGCAAACGGCGTCCGCGCAACCCTCACGGACCTCTTTGATCCATTCCACCTTCTGACATGCCCATGGTTTGATTCCACAGCCATTGACTCTATGCAATCTCCTGAATCCGGCTCTCCTACTAACTGAAACAAAGAAGGTTGCGCTCTCATCTTGTTTTTCACAGCTGTCTGCAACTGAGACATCATTGGGCTCTGACACATCGCCGACCTGTGCGCCCTCGTTGTAGGCTTCCTCGTCAAGAGAATCCGATGGCAAGGCAGGCCACTTCACACCTAAGCAGGGGCCATCATCTGATCGTTTCATGAACTGATGTCTACGTTTCCATTCAATTGGATCTTCCGATCTTGCTTTCAAGAATTCCCCATACTCCTCGATGACTTCGCTCTCATCATAACCAGGTCCACCCTCACAAATTGATCGGTTGACCTTCTCTTGGATTTCCATGACAATCTGTCTTGATGTATGAATGTAGTCTGAACTCTGATGAAGGTTGACATGCCATCTTCCTACAAAATCCCGTTGTTCCTTCGAAACTCCAACTGCAGCTGCAATCGAAGGTAGGAAATGACGCATTGAATGACCTGACCAAAACAAGGCTCCGTCCTCATGCAGAAGCTTGGATTCCTCATATTCCCTCCAGGGTTGAAATCTAGTTTTCAATGGCTGCTGCAACATGGAAAAGACCTGTCTGACCATGACTGCAATCTTCTCTGAGCTTGCATACCGAAATGACGGTGCCGAGAAATCCTTCTTGCTACAAAACACGAAATAGTCTCTCTGAAGCAATCCAAACTCCTGCCAAATCTCATAACCAGTTTTGAGCCAATCCAAGCCTGTCACTGACACACGCCTCGAAATAAAAATAGGCACCTCTTTCACATTCTTCCCAGGTCCAGTGGTCTTCGTCTTGGTCAAGAAACCACGAAAACCCCTACTGTTCAATGACAACCTCCTTGGATCCAATCCCTCGAGGTCCGATATCCGCATGCAGGCCCAAACGCAAATCAAAACAATCCATGACATTGCTCTCAAATACAAAGGTTTGTCAGAAGAGGTGACAGAAATCTCAAGTGAAATGATCATGGCAACTGTCAACGGTGGAGCCCTTCTGACCTCTGTGCCGCTTGTCTCAATCTCCGCCAGTCGTGACTTGGTTGCCTGCAGCCAGATCCTGCATGACGAAATTCTGAACTCCTGTGGAACCTGTCCAGCATCCTCCAAGACTGCAAGAGACGCACAAACGTCTACAATACGACCTCTGGATGACTCCTCCTGGACCATAAAAAGCAAGTAGTCCAACATGTCTGAAACGTCGGTAGGAAATGGAGTCCCCTTGAATTGAATCAACCAATCTCTAACTTTCTTCCATGATCTTGCACGGTTTCTGAGTGTCTTCAAACGGCGGCTACCAAAAGCTCTTCTCAACACTGCACTGCTATCTGAGGTTGATGCCGCCACCTTGCAAATCGGAAGGTCAGCTTCCGTAATGTAGCCAACCAGAACTGACAACCACTGCTCCCTAGCTGCAGACTCCAAATCAGAGCGTGACATGTGTGGGTTTGCAAGTGCCAACCTGTATGATGCCCTAGACAGTCTCGCTTGCAGTTTGACATCCATACCCAACAACTCACTGTAAACATCGACTGCACTTGGATCCCTAGATTCCTGCAAACGGCACCTCTTGGCATCCTGAAATTCCAAACGTCTCTCAACTTCACAAGCTTTTCTGTAGTGGTCGGCCCATTGAAACAAAATATCTGAATCCTGTGAAATCTCATGCAAGGAAGCAGTGTAATCATGCAAACCTTTGACAACTTCGAAACACTCATCAACCGTGTCAAACAGGAAAAACACATGGTGAGGCCTTTTGAACTCCTGTCGGAGCTTCTCTGTAAGGCTGAAACCGCTCGATTCCAATCTCCTCCATGCACCATCCATCTCGCAGTGAGCGACCGTGGCGCAGCGCGGATTCTAACTGAAAATTTCTCAGCCCCACAGCTTGAGCCAAAATAGTATTAAATAAAACGGGATGGAGTAATAATCTGCTTAAGGAAAGATGTGGGAAGGTGAAGTATTGAAGGCTTTCTTACTCCGCCATCGTTTCGATATCGTGTCAATTGCATTGGGTAATTGCCTTAAAACATACCACGGAGTAGCGGAGTAGCGCGGAGTAGCGACGGATTGGTGAATGTTGCCTGGGCGGTGCTGCATTGCAATTGCCGCATTGGAGCTGGGGAACGGAGACAGCTGACACCACATGTGCGCTTTCAGGTTCCATTTCTGGGGCCGGAAAGTCAATTGAAATCAGGCTTCGCATGTGCGGGCCTCCTCTGTAAAATGGCATCCAACAGGCATTAACGAATCTTCCAGGCATCCGTCTTCGTTCTGTTCAATGATTGTGCCGGAGAGTGGTCTTAAGGCTGACATGCGGACGATTGCAGTGCCATATTTTGGACACAAGGAGGCCACGCTTGGCCACTCTTCAAGGGCTTCAAACCTGGGGTGGTTACTGGGGCGGGACGCCTCTTTGATGACGAGACGTCGTCCATGCATGGGTTCTGCACTTGTTTTGGCTGCTGTCTCATCTTCAAACCATGTTGGGCGTTGGATTTGACACCCATTGCAGTCGGAGTTTCGGGATTTGATTTCCTCACGGCGGCTGATGCATTGCGGAACCATCGTCTCTGTAATTCATTTTTTTTCGCTGTCGTGTTTCTTTGGCCTCCTGTCTCAGCGGTTGAATGGTTGGCCTTTTGTTTTCTTGTTGTCTTCATTGTCCGTTTTCTCTCTCCGGGTGGTGTGCTGGCGCGTGCAGCTGTGAAATTGCCGACGCGTGGCCTTGGCCAGGCTTCGATTCGCTTTAGACACGTAAGCAGATTCTCAGAAATGTTGTTCGACGGCCGTTTATGGTTTGTCTTTTCCTTTTTCTGCGGTGCTCTTCAACGGCGCGAATCGGAAGAAACGCCACATTGGCAAAAGTGCGGCCGCTCGGCACAATCTTTGTCGCTAAGTGCGATGTCTGTCGCACAAAGTGACGGTCGATGTCGTCTAGTGGGACGGGTGTGTGATCAAGTTTTGTGTAGCAAGCTATGTCTGAGCGCTGTTTGAGGAAGTTGTGGACAAGTTGTGGTAACTTCGTGTTGTGTGAAAGTAAGTTGTGTGTGAGGAAGGTGTCCGGTGTTTTTGGGTTTGTGTGCTTTCTTTGTGGTGTCTTCGTGGTGTTGCGGGCGGCTGGTGGCCTCTGGTGGTTGTTGTTGTCTCTTCCTTTCTTGCTTTGCTCGTCTTTGCTTTTGGTCTGGGGTTAGGGACAACAAGCAACACCAAAACACACACAGGCAGCGAAGCGGTCAGAGAAAGCCAAAGAACGAACAGGAACGAGGGGGACGACAGCAGGCGGAGGCCAGCAGCAGCAGGACCAAACAAAGGGGACCCGGGGGAGGCAGCAAGGACAGGAGGAAGCAGCACAGGCCGCGGAGAAGGGCGCATGCCGCTCTAGCGGCGTCCTAAGAGGAGATCTGGATCAGCCAAGGGTGAATACCTCAGTGCAGGAAGGAAGGGCACCGGAAAAACACTCGCAACATCGTGTAGAGGGCAAAGCCTCACACAGGGCCGAAACCTTTGTTGCCACGAGGAGAGGTGAAGACAGGAGCTTTTTTTTTCCGTCCACCTCTTAGCTTTCGCCAGGTCGTTCCACACGTTCAGTTGCATATTTTTATTTTTTTCCTCCGGTTTGGCCGATTCGCACTAGGCACGGTCCTTACAATAGCGTAAGCGGTGAAAAGTATTTAGAAAAAGGATTCGTGTGGTCCAAAAACGTGGGCAAATCATCACATCAACACAAACAAAGAACCAAACAAAAACGCAACCAAAACGACCCGCAAATCCCCCAGCCAGATTTGCGTTTCGCCAAAAAGCAAACAGCGAAGCAACAAAGAACGGGGCCGGGCCCAAACAAGAACCAAACCAAACAACTTGAGATTTGCCTTGAATACAGTGACCTAAGCCACTGTATTGTCATCAAAAACATGCAAACTAATTAAGTGCGGCAGAGCGAAAAATATAGTGCACGATCACCCAGATTCTAATCATCCATACAACCGTGACTGTCACTCCAGCTCTCTGAAAGGTAGGCAAAGCAGGAATAGCTGACAGTACAGCTCGTATCAGTTGCCATTCTCATTGTCAAAGTTGGTCCTATGATGATGATGGAAGTTGGAGTCCAATCTCTGTAGTAAGATACTGCCGCAGTGGTGATGTGACTCAATACCCCCCTCAAGGGGGGTAGGGATTGACAGCCTGTAGGTCATGCAGGACAATAACTGTAATTCATCCCAGATGCTGTCATATCGTAGGAAGCCAAGAGGACCTGAAAAGGTGCCAATGGTGAAAGATCTCCGCAGATAAAAAAGATCCTCTCCGTAAGGTCATTGCAGATGAATAGAATACACTCGTGCAGCGGGAAGGCTTAAGCAAAGAAAGATTGCTACTCAGCGACCTGTACACAATTGCGCCGCTCGCACATGGCAATCGAGCTCAAGCCACAAACTTGAAGAGGTGGCTAGGTTTGCTGTACCAGCACCAGATTGACTAGCAGGATTCACAGGGTGTCATCGTCCCAGCAAAAACTGCTGCAAGTCAGATGTTCCAGAGGTTCGCAGTGCATCTCACATAGGGCCACTCTCCCCTAGAGTGAGCCATGAGCAGAATCACAACGTCCCATCAGCGCACCGATCCATGTTGGCAGGCTTTGCTGCACTAGGGCGCTCCAGACTGAACAGCAGGAAGCACCACTGGACAGCGCCAGTAGTGCTCACTGCAGTGCAGCCTGGTCCATGGCTCTACCGGGGATCTACCGCCCCTCCCGGAGAAATCGCAGAAACAAAACAGAGCGACAAGGGCCCTCCCTAGACAGCCAACGAAAAAGCCACATGAATCAAACAGCCCAACACCGCAAAAAGACATAAAAGAGGTAAAACGGAGAGGAGGGGACGGTGACAGGAATCTGCCCCACCGCGAATGAATTCGGAGTAACTAGAGATAAGACCAATGTAGTGAAGGTGAAATGACAGAGCAATGATGTAGAGCGGTAACCTCAGTATCTAGGCAACAGGTAAACCAGATGACACAACAACCACCAAAGAGAACCCTGCCATCATGGGGGGAAAGCAAATCACAAAAGGGGGGAGAGGCCAAAACAAAACACACACAACGACACCGGCCACACAGAAGAAGCGAGGAGAGGAGCCAGGAGGCAGCAGAGGACAGAGGGAGAGGGACACACCCGCACCAGAAGGGGTACAAACGTGCCTTAGCGGAGTTCAAAAAAGGGGCCAAGGATCATACTATGATGAATACCTCAGTGAGGGTGCACACAGCACTCCAACAACACAGGAAACATGGTGTAGAGGGAACGAGCCCCACACAGGGCCAAAGGCCTTTAGTGCCATGAGACACAATGAAGAGGGGAAATCAATGCACAACAATCACTCCAAGCACAGAGGCAAGGCAACCAGGCCGTCGCCGGAAGCAACGATACCCAGAGGGAGGGACCAGTAAAACCTGGACCAAGGCGCCAAGGAGGAACATCCGAGGGGGAGTGAGGGTCACGTCAGGCAGGGAACAGTAACCACAAACCGAAAAGGACGAAACAAAACACCAACACCTAATGTAGCGCTGCGGATGGCAAAACCTAAGGATGAGTCAGCGAATTCAAGTGCCTTGGTTGGTGGAAGGTGTGGGGGAGTGGGTGGCTAATCAAGACTACATCTGGGGACAACAACAGCATCTTCACCCATCGATGATTGTCAGGCAAAGACTGCGAGAAAGCGAGTGCGTGCACTAGGCTTCATGGCAGAGGCAACCTTAGTACAAGCTAAGCTCTCGACGGGACAGCACATTCAGAAAGCGGGGATTAACGAAGCCATGCGGCCCGATCTGTTATGCCTAAGCTGGCACTCGCACGCAAAGCCAACTGTGGCTCCCAACTGATGGAGAGATCTGGGTTGGTTGGAGCCAGGCATGTGTCGCATGATGAGCCTAACAATTATAAATGGGGAAACTGTGTCTCCTGCTGCATACCAGTGCACCTGTCACGTCTTTGGACAGACACACTGGGTATGAGCAGTACACTTAAGTAGATGTGACAATTGAACCAATTAGACACGTAAGTCATCTTCCACCACCGTGATCGATGCAACAAAAGCCAATCAATGGGTGAAAGCCCAGAGTGAAACAGAAAAAGAAAAGGGGAGGGGGGAGAGGGGGTGGACACACGAAGGAAAGTGTGATACTGGGGGGTTGAG